ACACACACACACACACACACATACAGGATGTCATACTCCAAGCCTTTACTTAATTATCTTTTTAAGTAGGAGGGACACAGGCTTTTGGTACTTACAGGGGGTCCAACTGCACCTGGAGGGCCTCTAGGTCCCATTAAACCCTGTAAAGAGGATAGACAGTTAGCACTGATATCCTGCCATGGCTTTGGTCAGAGTCAGCATGACTAGCTTAGCAGTGCCACAGACATTTTGCGATGGACAGATGAACAGACCTGCTGGGTTTTATTTCCGTTTTTGTCCCTCCCAAGGAAGCATTTCAGGACCCAACTTTCCTCCACTCTTTCTTCCCCTTGGCTGCTTCTTCTCTCCTAACCCAAATCAGCAGAGCAAACGAGCACTGGATGGGAACAGACGTAGTTCTCTAAAGCTGTGCCTAATCATGCATATTGAGATTGTTCTAAATGCAATGAAGTAAATCTGTCTTTGCACAAACACAGAATATACAACTGCCTTCCGTGCAGCTGATGAAGCATTTCCTTGGGAGGCTTTTGATCTTTGTCATCACCTCATGTCATAACACGCTAAGAAATGGATCCTTTTATTGTCACAATGGACATAAATTGAAAAGGATTAAAAATCCTTCTTAATGCTTAGAAGGAGGTTTGTTATAACCTTATAGCTCCTTTAAGGGTGACTGCTGACTGGACTGATAAAAATGTCAAGCAAAAATAGATGGAATGACAGGTGAAAGGAAAAAAAAAATATTATTGAAACAGCACCCTAGAAGAGTCTATCATTTGATAGTATTGAAAATATGGCCCAAAAGGCAGCAGATTGTTTTCATCTTTGCGTATCATTCTCTACCACACAAATAAAATAAAATAGAATGTTACTAGTTTTTGAGCTAAATACATATTATTGACTCCTCTTTGCAGTAACTGATGCCTGCTGCAACTCATCTGGGGCACTCTGTCCTCACAATGCTGAAAATGTTTCACCTACAAGTCTGGAGTAATTTGTTCAGGACACATCAACCATGGGGACTCTGTAGTCAGGTTTGACCTACTATCATAATGCCTAGATTGAAATCATACAGATTGTATTTAAAAAGCACATCACCTTAACTATAATTTTGGTTTTGGAAATTGACGCATCATTAAAATAAACTCACTTTTCCATCAAAGTACTTTTTTAGGTATACATTAAAAACAATTTTCTTTGACTTCATGGATTTTAAATTATATTTATTCATTTTTCCAAGTGTTTGCAACAATTCCTTTACATAAAAGGTAGTTTATGTTGTGGAGGCTGTGAGACAGAAAATGATTACTCATTAATTCAGAGAAGAACCCTATGGGGTTTTATATTATTGATTTTCAAACATGGAAAATTATTTTAATACTTTATTACACCCTATCTTCCTGATCACAAAACACGTATCTGTTGATTACATGTGTCTGTGCATGTGTGTGGATGTGCAAACTGAAATTGTTTCATTGACATGTAATAGTAAAGTAGTCTGCTTTATGTTCCCCAAGGAGATGTACCAAAGCCAGTGGAATCTAAAATCCATATTAATTTTCTGAGCTTAAATAGGCTTTTTAATTTTTTTTTAGTATTTACCTGTGTTTTACTTTTGTCCCACTGGCTTCTTCTTAAGACAGAGGTACTGCTTTAAAGCTGACTAATGTCTAGCATTAGCTAAAATGGCTAATTTTTTTAAATGTCCTATATAAACAAAGCCAAGGCAAAAACAGAAACAAAACAAAACAAAAACCCAAATTCTATTTCTTTATTTCAGAAATAAACTTTTTAAATTACCAGGAAAACTCAGGAAATTGAAAATTATCAATTAAAGGTATATTACTTCTCAAGTGAGAGTTTTAATTTATAGGAAATATGATCTTCCCATTGTAGTGTATTAGCTTATTGTGGACTATTAGCTCCAGCAGAGTATCTTTTGATGACAAAGCACTGAATTCATTTTCCAGGTAAAATTTGTATTTTAAAGACCATGTTAACTATGGACAGATAAACAGCTTAGCTCGGGAAACAGTTGTTAAAACTACTGTGTGTGTGTATGTATCTGTAGTGTTTAACCAAACTAATGTTTTAACCTCCAGCAATTTTTGTTCTCTCTCTTTCATGTATCACTATACATTTTGCATGCTCATATTGATTTTATTGCTAACTATCTACTAATGCTTACTTTACTTCCTAAAGATTGGCAATCATCTTCGTATTGGGAATGTTTCTAAATGTTAACTCAGATTATAAGATGTATTGAAAAATATCTGAGTTGTATGGCACAAATGCCAAACTTTATTCACGTTCCATTCTATATTTATTTATAATTAATAGACTAAAATGGAATTTTTGTAAAAACATAAAAGAAACATTTCCTAGACTGCTGAGAGGATGTCAGAATCTGTCATATATATTCTTTGCTACATCTCAAACACATAATGCAATGCAGTTTTGAGCCCATTGAAGGCACTGATATTTATTTGTTGAATAAAATGAATGCTTTACTGAAGGACTAGATATATGAGGCATGATGTAGAACATTCAGACATCTTGCCTGGTGGTTCGTCCTAGTTCCGTCATTAACCATTTGCATGCTCTTGGCTAAAGGGGCTGATCTACGGTTGTAAGATTAACAGGCTAAAGTAGAACTTGTTGATCCTTTCCAACAAGCTCATAGAACTTAATAGTTATATGTCTCTAAGGGTTGTTTAAAATTGTAAGTAATGTGAAAGGATATAAAGAAAAAAAACCAGAATGGTTGCTCTTTTGACTTCATGTGCCTAAATTATGATTACTATAGGCTATACCATAATCTGGTAGCATAGTGGCTAAAGCACTTGACTGCTAACCAGAAGGCTTGCGGTTCAAACCCACTAGCCACTCCTCGGAAGGAAGGTTGGGCAATCCTACTTCTGTAGTGATACTGCCTTGGAAACCCAAGGAGGGGTCGCTATGAATCGGGGCTGACTCGACGGCACATAACAACAACAACAACATACCATAATCTATTTTTTGGACTTAATATCTGATTTAGATATAACATCTGATTTGAATACAAACATCTAATGAGGCAAATTCATAAAAAAATTGAACTCTCTAACTGGTATAGTTTTGGAATACAAAAATAAGTGGTGCTTTCATCTGATCTCAGTATGAGGGTTAACCTATGTAGTTAATAAATGGCTGTATAAAGTTTAACATAATGAATTGCTATATAATATATTCTTTGGCTAAGAAAAAAGAGATAAGCATACCATTGGTCCAGGGCCAAGTCCAACACCTTTTCCATCATACTGAGCAGCAAAGTTCTAGAGGGAGGAAACAAGAGATACAGTTATCAGCCATGTAGTTGATTGTCTCATTCTATGGGTAAAGATATTTTATTGTTGTTTAAAAGGGAAGAATGCTTTTGCTACAAGGGTTTATAATTATCATTTTGGAATTATATATTAAGCTAAATTCTTACAAAATCAGGAGAAATATGAGTTCAAATTTACTCCACACCCAGTTTGAGATGGAGAGCTTCTCTCATCTCATTTCTCAAAGCCTTGTTCTCCCCTGCTACCCTGTGCCTGACCTTTTTCTTCCACACTGAGGAAGGGGAACTGTTTAAATGTTAAAAGTCAATCAAGGCCCCTTATAAAGGAAGCAGCAGCCAGAAGGATGGCCTTACATTTCTACCTATTGGTCCTCCCCTCCAGAACAACACAAAATGATTAAGTGACCTTTTTCCCTGGAGTTTCCAAAAGAATATAAAGTTTTCAAGTTTAGAGGAAAAATAAAATGCCTCTCAGAAGATTAAACTTTTAAAAAGTAGTTCACAGTAATAAATTTACTCTTAAAGATCTCTCTTATTGTGGTAGATCTATTAAATCTGCACATTAAAGAAGGTGAGTTTTAATGTACTCAGTAGACAAGCAATCACAACAAGATCTTTGAGGGAGAAAGGTCCTATTTTACAGGCATACAGTTGAGTATTAGAATCAGGCTTCTGATTCATAGTGCTAACCAATTAAGCAAATATGTTTTCCTTCCTGCAGTGAGGCCATTTGGCACTCATACCATTGTTCAAGACATAAAGCTAAAGGAAGATATTAATGAAAAAGGGAAATGTACTTTTCTCAAATTAGTTTCAAGAAAATTAAACCTGAAACTGCTTTGAATGTTGGTTCAGCAGACTTCAAGCCAAGGAGAATAAAAGGGTAGAGTGTGTACAAAATTGCTTAAGAATAAGGATTTCACTAATTCAATCTAGTCAAACTCTTTAATAATGCAACACCTCTTATTTGTGCCCTACTGATAAAATATATTAAATCCTCAAATTAAATAATGATTGTCAAAGCTGCTGCTACCTTCAATGAACACAAAGGCCAGACCTGTAATTGACAAGAGCTCATTAAAAAGACAGGCAAACTAGCCCCTTCAATGAAAAAACTAAAGAAATAAAATAAAATATATGAATTTCCAAATAGCAGATTTCTTCCTTAACTGTTAAAAATAAATTCCATACTGAGCCTTCATCCAATAGTGGTATATAAAACGAAAGTAAGCTAAACGTTAATAATCCTTATGATTAACTGGATATCTTACCCCACCGAGACCAGGGGGGCCAGGAGGACCAGGTGGACCAGGAGGGCCTGGGATGCCATCTTCACCATCTCTGCCTGGTGGGCCATCTGGACCCTATCATATCAAAAGTGAATAAAAACGTCAAAGTTAGACAGGCCCCATTGAAATAGGTACAAGGAAATGGAGGTCTGAGAATGCAACTGATGAATCAGTTGTTTAGACCTTTCAAAAACACAAGTAGGGGAAAACTGATTGAGATTAAGTTATGACATGCATCTGTTTTAGAAAGAAGATTAGTAACAGATACAGGAGGAACAGACAGGACAGGATCACTCTCCTTGAGGAATTTCCCAGGCACTGATTATTAGTTCGGGAGCTCTGGTGGCATAATGCCTAAGGCATCTGACTGCTAATCAGAAGGCTGGTGGTTCAAACCCACCAGCCATTCCTCGGAAGGAAGGTTGGGCAATCTACTTCCATAGTGATACTGCCTAGGAAACCCAAGAAGGGGTCGCTATGAGTCGGATCTGACTCAACGGCAGTGAGTGAGATTATTACTTCATAATAGAGCTTCAGTATTCAAATAAAAGTAAAAAATATAGCCAACATTTATGGTTCTATGAACTTCATAGGTTAATTGTACAGTGTGATGTTCTAGGTATATAGATTGCCAGTTTCTGACTGTGATGAGCTTACTCAACTGTTTTGGTTACTTTTTGCATTAATAACAGACTAATCGATATGATAATTAATAAAATAATTTTGTCACAGGTTAGAAAATCCTGAAGCTCTCCTACCATTAACATTTATGATGTCAAAAGAATTCAACATAACTCTACTTCTAATAAACTATTTCAGTGGAGTACATGTAAGGAATGCACATAATGCTTGTTTGTATTTCCCAGTAGATACATTGCTGTTGTGTGCCACAGCATCAATTCCGACTTCTAGTGACCCTATAGGACAGAGTAGCACAGCCCTATAGGGCTACCAAGGTTGTAATCTTCATGGAAGCAGATTCCCCCATCTTTCTCCCCCTGAGAGAACTCCTGGGTTTGAACAATTGACCTTTCAGTTAGAAGCTGAGTGCTTAACCACTGTGCTACCAAGGCTCCTCCTAATAGATATTGATATTTATATACCGGCCAAAGTGTTATATAATGCAAAACCATGTATTTATAGATGTCAAGTAATCATAGCAAGGAGATAAGACTACCATAAATAAAATATAAGCCTGATTGATTTATTTCTGAATTTAGGAAGATAAACATGTTAGTGATGACTGTTCTATTATCATTCCCAAACCACGTAAGACATCTTACTTCAAAAGCAAACAAAACATGTTAAAAATATAAGGCTTGTGTGATGCCAAGTAGATATATTTCCATTATGTATGTGTGCATGAGTTGAGCAGGTCAAGCAAAAACAAAGACAGATCATGCAAAGAATGTGGCTGTTCTGTAACTGATTTTCTGTCCTGAAGAGTAAACTTGTCCTAAGAGGAATACTGGTTATGTATGACAATGCTCATTCTGTTGGTCATTATTTGCTTAAAAGGAGGTGCAATTATCCAGATCAAAATATTCTTACAAAATTGTCACTCTGTTGTATCTTTTAGTATATAGTTATTCAAATTTGGGTCAAAGCCCTTTGATACATACCTTGTCTCCACGTGGTCCTCTATCTCCAGTTGGGCCCTACAAGGATGATGCAGATAGCACAGTAAGAAATGTTTAAGCAATTTCCAGTGACCAAACATACCATTCTTTAGTATAATATGTTTGTAAGAGTGATCAAGCCACAATGTTATAGAGAGTACCTATAAAAATGGCATACTACACCAAATAAAAGTGTATTGTTTTTATTATAATTACATGTAGTTTTAAGAGGGGGTGTATAAAAAAAAGAAAAGGTGTATAGCCTCTAGCCAACAGGCTTATACTGTAAGTAGTATTTTTAGTAAGGTGATTACTGTAGACAAAATGAAAATTTTGTTACAGCTATAGCACCATATTTATATTTATATAGTCAAAACCCTTTACAATAAACTTTCTTTTACTATCTTCAATTGACATAACAGTCAGTCCATTTTCAGAGTAAAAACAATCTTTTCTCCCCATTAGTATGTAAATCACTAGTTTATGCAGTAGAGATGTAATTAGAGATGATTCTGAAGATAATAAAATTGTTATCTTAAACATCAAAACTATTTTTCATCATAGTTTAGCTATTGTGTACTAGTTTGGGCATAATAGTGATAAATATTTTCCTTTTATAATCTTATAAATTAAATTAAAAGGCATTTCTGATAATTTTATATTATTCAGATATTTACAAAGTACCGGCCTCTTACCTTTCTTGCAGTTGCCTGGAAAAGAATAAGGAAAAGATTATCATGAAGAAAATTATATATAAATGTTCCCTAGTTCTGTGTTGTATATGGTGCATTTACTATCACTTTAACATTCCAAATAAAAACTTAAAATTTAGCAATAAATTAAATAAAAAATGTTATCTACAGAACTGAATATATACTTATCTGTACTTATGCCTCAAATTCAATTCATGAGCTAAGAATTTGATCATGATACTCTTGCAAATGATTTCAAAGAAGTTACAAGATTCTCTAGCTTAGTGAAGTCTTCTGCTTTGTAGTAGCTGATGCTAAAACTCAAACTTCCACTGGAATTATTTACTTTCTATTGCTGTGTATTTTAAGAAGGTAGTCTTATTCAGTAGCCCCACCCATTTTAGAAATTGGGGTGGGTACTTTCTAAGGCTGCGAAAAAGGTTTTGATTAGTGTAACTCTTCATGATTTTCTTGTGAATCCAGGTTGGTCAATACCAATACTTCTCTCATTATTCCCAGAGGAGAAATTACTGTGACTGAAGAGATGAAAATATATTTAAAAAAAAATAGAAAAAAAAATTTTACTCACCTGTTGTAAAGCTGAAGAGAAAAGAGAAAAGTAGAAAATAATCATTAAAAATTGTAATTATATTTAACTGATCAATAGCAGTAATTAGCAAATAGATACACTAGTTCATACAATTGATTTACCTAATTAAAGGGCCAATTATGGTTTTTATTAAGACCATTCTAATGATTTAGAAATTATGCAGGTCAAAAGTATGGCAGGGAACAGCAGGGTGATTTGTTTGCAATATTAATATGTAAATATATTTTGAATTAAATTGTTAATTATTTACTATTTTATAAATGCTTTTAAATATTAATGTGTCTGAAGAATGTTGTTAATGCTCTGTAATTAAGCTGGTAAATTGCACAGATGAATTGCTGAATAGAAGATTAATAGATTGATAAGGAAATAATTTTTAATTTATGGTTTAGATCATTATTAATATTTAATAATAATTAATCCAAAAAGGGGAAAATTTAGAAAAGTATGGTATCTAACTGGGACACTGAAGTTGCTTAGTGCTTCACTGAGTTTGTACTATGTATTGCTTTTGTTCCCAAGAAAAGATTTGCTCTGTATAAACAGAAAAACTGTGTATTAAAGAATGTAAAAAATTATGGTAAGAATAAACCAAAAAAATCTCCCCTTTGCCATAATGGCTGTAAGTCCTTAAAGATGAATACCCCTCCTACCATTTAAAAATTGAGAGCTCTGGTGGCGTAGTGCCTAAGGCATTTGGCTGCTAACCAGAAGGCTGGCAGTTCAAACCCAATGGCTACTCCTTGGAAGGAAGATTGGGCACTACTTCTGTAGTGATACAGCCTCAGAAAGCCAAGGAGGGGTCGCTATGAGTCAGATCCGACTTGACGGCAGTGAGTTGTCTTTTTTTTTTTTTTTTTTCTCTAAATTATGGGTTAATATAGTGTATAAGTGTGGCCAATTTTGCAGTAAGATGAATCACCCCTAAAAACGAATTTAATTGAGTGGCCAGGAAGTATGTCTCTAGAGTGAAAATATCTATTGTAACAGTCACAGTTCAGGAAAGTGGACCATATCTAGCACTAACATTTAAGGGCAATTTATGAAAATTACTTTTAAATTAGAAAAATTATGTTCACTTTATTGTATATATTAGTAGGAAGGATAATTATGGCTGAACTTGATTAACAGACGTCCTCTCATTCAGAAAACTTGCCTTTTAATTACTCAGAAATGAGCCATTTTGATGAATGTGTGCTTGGTAATGTTTATTTCAGACCACGGAAGGCTGTCGATCAAAAGGTGAGACTGCCGCTTTTACCTCCAAACTTTCTATGTCTGTTTTCTATTTTCTCTCGGAGCCAATCCTGTCCCTCTACCATTAGATCTCATAAAAAGGGAGTGATATAATGTTAATTTGTTAGATGCATTTATTCCATGCAACAGTGTGGACACTAAAAGTGTGTGGGCGGTGGGGATACACACACACACACACACACACACAAACACATCAGTAATGATGTAATGGTAGGTACTGTGGTACTGGGCGGAGCAAACTTTTTGAAGTTTTAGGTGTGGTCAAACATCCTTTATATTCCATCAAATCAGTATCTCTGCCCAGTAATTAGGCAGCCATTTTCAAGACTAAAACAGAATCATTTTCTTCATTCTACATTGATGATGTTGTTGTTATGTGTCGTCGAGTCAGCCCTGACTCATAGCGACCCCTCCTTGGGTTTCCGAGGCAGTATCACTACGGAAGTAGGATTGCCCAACGTTCCTTCCGAGGAGTGGCTGGTGGGTTTGAACCACCAGCCTTCTGGTTAGCAGTCAAGTGCCTTAGCCACTATGCTACCAGAGCTCCATAAAACTTAAAGCTGGAGTGGAGTCACTCTAATCCCCTTTTAGAAAAGGCCCAGTTGGATTTGCCCAAGGTCAAATGGCAAATCAGTGAAAGTCTTGGGAAGATCCTGGGTCTCTTGAGTCTCAGACTAGTGTTGGTATTTCCCAAGTTGCTGTGTTCAGAGTGATCTGATTATCACTGAGAAGACGTTGAGGAGGTAATTCTCCAGCTCAACAAAGGCAGAGTAGATTTTAGTTAAATTATTATTACCACTTCCATTACCACATAATGAGTTGAAAAGCTAATTTCACTTTTGAGAATGTATCAATTCCAGGTAACATCCATTTCCTTCCTAGGATACACTGGCTAGCTATTGGGAATGACTCCAAACAGAAATGGAGAGAATCTGGATAAACCAGTCTTTAATGGAGACTCCATTAGTTTAAGGCCTGGTCCCTTGCGCTTTCATTTTCCTCCCTGCAGAGGGCGCCTTAAAATCATCATCATAGTCATTATCCAGACACGCCTTACAACGCCCAGAAGACCAAAACTCTAAGGAGCTGGGTTTTATGTTACTAAATTAAAGAACTTTTTAAACAGGCCTCAAGTTTTACGAAGTGGACATCAGAGAGATTATGGGGCCTGTTAAGACTTTCCTCACCCCATCATCCGTTAATATCTCATCTTTACAGAAAGGACCTTTGACTCCTTTACAACTTCAATAACCGAGGATGAGAACAAATTACTCTCTTCCTCAGGGTTAAGAGAAAAAGTTTCTAACTTTTGGCGAGAGTTGAGCCATTTATGTTTTTAAAGTATTTAGGTAATACCCGTTTTTTTCTCATCAATTCCTGCATTTTTTCCATATGCAAGAACCTTCCTTCCCTCCAAGCTGTAGCTAAAACTTAGGTTTAGGTTTCCTGTCTCAGACTAGGGTGCCCACCCATCTAACCTCTCTCTCCCGTCGCCCCCAAATAAGCGGAAGGCACTTACATTGGCATGTTGCTAAGCATGAAGTTACTGCGAGCAGCAACAAAGTCCGCGTATCCACAAAGCTGAGCATGTCTACCACTTAGACATGCAGACTCCTTGTGTCGCAGAGCCCCTGGGTCACCGGCGAGAGTATCACCTGGCGGGCGCAGGCATGCAGTCGTGGCTAGCACCTCCAACTTAGCCGAAACCTCCTGCTGCCGTGGTGCTAAAATAATAAAGCCCGGATCTGCCCTATTTATACGGCAAAAGTTTCCCTGGCCCGAGGGTGCCTCCAAAAGCGCCTCCACCAATGAGAGGGCTGGGGCTGGGGGCCCGGGCAGCCACAGCTGGGAGGAGACTGCGGGGGCGCAGAGGAGGGAGCGAAGGGGGGAGGGACGTGGTCACGGGGCTGGCTTCTTAAATTGGTTCCATTCTTTTTGAGGACGTGGACACTTTTGAGGCTTTCAGGGGGAAACTCTGACTCGCTGTCTGCATACCTCCGCCCTCCCCTTCCACCGCCCTCCCCCGCCCTTTCCAAGTTTGGAAACATTTTCGGACACGTCGAAGCGCTCAGCGAGCTCTGCAGACAACGAAGGGGGCAACCGCCCTGCGAGTGTTCAGACCTCGGGGCCGCGGGGCAGTGTGGAGAGGCCGGAGCCGGGCGATCAAAGCAGGAGCTGTCCAGCCTGGCTTCACCTTGTGCCCTGGGCAGCCACGGACAGATTTGAGCGGCCCAGCCGACGCCGCAGGACAGGGCAGAAGTGAGGGGAGTCCCGACTGCGTGGCGAGGGCCGGAGGCAGCCCTCCCCGCCCCCTCCACCCCGCCCCCCGCCCCAGCCCAGTTTTTCTCCAGTTTTGGGGCGTGGTGCACCCACGTTTTCAGCAGTAACGTTCTCTCTGTCATCTGGCTTTGGGAGAGGATGAGAGGGGATCCTGTCTGTGGAGAGTGGGGTTGGAGTTCGAGGATGCCTGTTTTTGGGGGTGGGGAGAGGGGAGAAGTCTAGCGGTGGCGTGGCACCCAGTAGGAAGGGAGGATGTGCTTTGCTCCAACTAGACCAGCCTAAGCCATCGAGGAAGTCTTTTGGCCTCTTTGCAGGCCTCTGCTGAGGCTTAGTCTAAACCAAGACCGGAGATTGGCTGGCTATTCGAAACGACTGCAACTGACCTGGAAACTGAAGACTTCTCTTTCCTGGACTCTCCTCTCTGAGAGTAAGGTGGAGAATCCCATGCTCTCCATTTCCTCAGAACCTCTGTCCTTTTCTCCACTGACACCTTGTCCGGATTTACCAGCTACACCAGGAGCTTGGACCCAGATAATTGGGAACTCTGGGTCTCACTGTCACTCACTGACACTGCTATTACAGGCAACACTCATGCCCCTCCCTACCTTGGTATCAGCTCCTCTTCCCACCTGGGGAAAAAACACCCAGCTCATCTAGAGGGGCTTCAAATTTTAGGTTAGGATTCCTGCAGTCTTTTCTGGTAACATCCCAAGCAGCACTCCTACCCATGTGGATGTTAGCCTTCTCCCAACACCCAACCTCCCTCTGCCCTTGGGGCCACCATTCCACTCTCCACCAGGGAGAAGAGGATCCAGGATCTTGACCCAGAGGTATTGGAGGTGAGAGGCCAAAGTCTTGAGAATTGTTAGTTACTAACTCAGTTAATTTCAGTGAATGGCCTGTTTCCAAACTTTCCTCTTGGAATGTCATTCCAGGCCCAGGGAAAAGGCCAACCATCCCTAGGTTGTGCCTTTATTTCTCTAGTACCCAATGCGGCAGTTATGGACTAGTTGAGTGCCATGCTGTCGCTAGAGCCAATGCAAAAGGAGCATCTTTAAGTCAAGCCTGTCTCCATGAAACAAACGAGGAGAAGCTAGAATGGGGTGTAGTTCTTTGTTAATTCTTTACTCCTTTCTTCTCCACTCTCCTTTTTTGCTTTGTTTTAAGGAAGAAAACTTTCTGCCTAAATTAACTCCATCAGCAGCTGCTATAAACCAAAGGGATTAGATATTCTTAAACTCTTTCCTCTAAACTTAGAAAAAAAAAAAAGGAAACAAATTAATGGCAGTAAAAGAGAGTAACCAAAACTATAATAGACTCTTCTTTTTTTTTTTTTTTCTAATTAAGGGCATTACCTTGGGAGATAACATTAGAAGAACACTGAAATATCTGGAGTGAAAGTATTTGAAAGGTATTTGGTCAGTTCTAGGAAGAATCCACAGGTAAAATTGTTTCTGACTAGGCAAAAATGGTTTTAGGTTTTATACTTTCTAACAACATCAACCAAAGAACTGAAGTTTAATTAATTACTCAAAATATCACTGTTAAAGACTGATCTAAAAACTTTAAAAGTGAAAATCATTTTTATCAGGAAAGCAAAACTTTAATATTATATAGCCAAATTGTTGAGTCAGACCCGACTCATAGAGACCTCTCCTTGGGTTTCCGAGGCAGTATCACTCCGGAAGTAGATTGCCCCATCTTCCTTCTGAGGAGCAATATATATATATATATATATATATATATATGTATTTTAAAATCATTTTTACTACTCTGCTCATTTGCCTTTGCAGGACATCATTAGTGCATTTGTTTTGTTTTTCTGAAAGTCAGAGCTTAATTCTCAACTAAATGATTCAGGCACATAAGAAAATAGATTTATGAAAGAGCCCCTCCCAATAGTTCAGTGAGGTTATCTGATAATGCCTTCCGGTCAGATCCTCCAAATAGTAGGACTTGCAATAGCTGCCCCAGATATTGAGGGTTTTGTCATTGATATCAAAACAGTTTAAATGTAGAACTTTTTTGGAAATGTGATTATACTTTTCTTTTTAGCATCTAAAAAAAAAACTCAGCTAATTTTTGAGAGTTAGAGAAATATAAGTTCAAACACACATTTATAAACGTAAAGGAAAACCATCTTTGCTAAAGGCAGCAGAGTGGACTGATAACTTTAAAAGCATTCCTGGAAACTGATGCAAATACCAAATGCTGCTGGGCTCCCTCCCTGCTGATGTGGCAGGGCTGGAAGCAGGCAGTTGTCAGCATTTGGTGGGAGGCCCTGAATCTGGACTGTACAATGAAAATCAAGAAAACCGAAGGGATTTTTTTTTTTTTTTAAAGTGGGAGGCAGATTCCAAATCCAGAAGATTTTATGTATAATTTTGACCATCTCTTTCTCTTACTGATTACTCTTTGGGGAACATAATGATTAAATATTTGCTTTGAAGGAGGATTTCTTTTCTTGCTCTCCTTTTTCAAAGGAGGAATTCTTTAATGCTCTCATTTAGATCTCTGTTAAATATTTTGTGCTTCCAAACTGGGAGAAGCTTTTTGTGTGGATGGGGGCGGGGCTGGGAAGAGAGCTGACCCACAGACTGAACTGAGAGAGTGGCTTGGTGAAAGCTGTGTTGGTATGTGGAGCTGGTTGGGGGGATGTGGCTGAGTAAGAAAGGAAAAGGGTAAGGGAGTGGGGTGGGCCGGAGGTTGAGAGTGGAGGAATGGAGGAAGGAGTGCAGAGGAGATCAAAGACTTCTACACTTAGCAGCTAGGCAGTTGACACCTGGAATCCTATTCCCAAATCACTCTCTGATGAAAAAAGATTATCTCTTTAGCTCCCTACAATCAGGAGATTATTGCATGTGATCACATCTTAAAGAGAGTGGTTGAGAGTTTGGTAATATAATGCCATGTTGTCTTATACGCTTATTTTTTTCTGTTCTTTTATCAAAGTGAACTTCTGGCTGATAGGTCTTTCAACATTTATTGAGGGTCCATGCTCTGGAAAGCACCAATATTACACCATCTCATTCTAGTTTTAGTTCTGAGTTGGCTGTTAAATAATTGCTAAGCTGTCAGTAATAATGAAGTTGATAGCTGAAAAGATTTGAGGGCTGACTTCTTTCTAGGATATTTGTTTGGAAGGTATGGAGATTTCCACCCTTCATAATACCAATTGAATTATTCAGTTCCCATTGATTATTTAACTAAGACCAGATGTATTTCCACTCAGGTAATATTTAGTGTTGTGACAGTCACTGTACTTGGTGGGCATATAATTGTGCAAGAGAATTAGTCATTGTCCTCAGGGGGATTGCAATCTGTTGGATGGTAGAAGAGAGTATAGCAAGTGTTTTGATGGGGAGTATTGGGTGCCTTTGTGTTTATAGAAGATTTAGGGTGAACACCTTATCTAGATTTAGGTGGACAATAGAGAATGGAACATCCTTGTTCAAGCTTTAAGGAGGAAGAAGAGGTGAGGAGTGGTTTAGGCACAGTGGCATTAAAAAATTTGGCAGTCTGAAGAATGGAGAGCAATTCAACAGGGTAGGAGTGTGGAGGACTGGAAATGGGGGAGGAGAGAGGAAGGAGCTAGAGAAGAGACTGGTGGATTTAACCAGACCAAAAAGAACGTTTTCAACTGTTTTATGGTGTTTGTGTTTTATTAACCATGCTGTGGGGAGTGTTTGAATGATTCTAAGGAGAGAAATTATTTAATCAGAGATTGCTTCTTAAAGGATGTTTTTGACATCAGTGTGGAGAGATGATTAGAAAGGGAACATCATAGAGCTAAAGAAATTAGTTAGGAGGTTGTAGCAGTAATTCTGAGGGAAAATGGTGGTCGCCTATACTAAGTAGTGATGGGAGAGTTCAGGAGAAGTTGGTAGGCTTTATATTTTGGAGGTAGGAAAAAAGATTTTGATGTTTGGTTGTGTGGAGGGAGGGAGAGGGAGAACTCAAAAGTTCTGGCTTTGGTTATTGGCTGGATGGAGGTCTTATGCAATGAGTTGGGAACAATTAAGGAGGAGAAATTTTGGGTGGGAGAAGGAAGGTAAAGAGGTCAATTTTGGGCATGTTCACTTTTGAGTAATTGTGGACCATCCAAGTTGATGGGTCTTACAGATAATTAGAAATTTAGACACAGAATCCAAAATGTGTATTTGGCCTAAATTTAGGGATAAAGGAATCATCAGATTACTGATGTCATGGGAGTGGTTGAAATTCTCAGGTTGTAGGTATATATGGAAATAGTAAATAATCAAACATGGGAGAAAACCCTGAAGTGCTCAAGCATTTAAGGAATGGACAG